AAAACGAGATAGCAGCTTCTATGTTCCGGTTTTGTAAAAAAAAATAAGTTAATGTATGGACAATATTTACATTCTAAGTTCGTGAAAAGGCAAGCCACGCCAATGTTTCGGGAATGCGACTTTAGTGAACTTTACATCGAAGCACTCTTAAGATATTGATGCTAGCGAAGCGTAATAGAAGTCGGGCTCATGCGAGAAACGAAGCGAATATATTGTAAGAAAAGATAAGACAGAAATGTTATCGACATTGACTTAGGTTGCATTTAATTACTATAGAGACACACTGTGGGCATGCCGGCAAAACTTGAGTAGCGTGCTAAAAGCACGCACGTTCTGAGGACATTTGAATATTTCGCAATTCCAGCCACGAAAATCTCTTGAGCAGCATCGCAAAATGCTCAATTATTCCGGAAACCAACGCGCTTTGGGGGCACGATGCTTGAATTTGCCAGAATAAGTCAGTTTTAATGACTAGCTTTGTTCATTTTCCATTCAGTTACGGCAGGTGTCGCGACCACCGCCCAGATGATAGCGACATTAGCGACATGCACCTGTCCCGCAATCCAGGTCACGTCAATTAAGGCCGAGATTCACGAAAACATTCAACGACTGCTCCCCCAAAAGATTTAGAACGCAGAATCACATAATATATCGTGATATACACCAAAGCCTGCTAACTTGACGCAAAATAGAGACAGAGCAGGCGTGGCTATGTACAAGTCACGAGACTACACGTATACCGAAACCGGATATTATACAAGCATTTAACTTCGACACATGAAAAGAGAGAATCATTTTCGGTGGAAACTAAACCAAATGCACACATATAAAAAGAGGGCACAGGGAAATAACAAATAAAAAGTAAAACTGTCAAACAACACGAAACATGTTCTCGAGCCCTGGCTGTGTCCAGCTGTACCCCGGCGTTGAAAAAAAAAAAAAACGCAGCATCATTTGAAAGATACGCCATCGCTTGAACCATGCGAGGGTTTCTCTTGTTCTTCAATGCGAAGCGAAGCCACGTATGTTGCAGAAAAATTGCTCCTATGGCTCACTTCTGTCAGCTAAGCACGAACCATACCGCTGTTTGTGGACACTCTGTGTAGACACACATGAACGTCCACCAATTTTGATGGACGTACTCAATCTGATCTTTCGGTTGTCTTTCGCCTGAGCCTATAGATCACAGCTATCGCGTTGTGAAACGTGGAGCAATGGTTTAAGGCAGCTGAATACCCTGTCGTGGGTCGTGTCACGCTCGCTATCAGTAACACTGACGATGGCAAGTGCCTGTAATTGTGTACTCGCGACCATGTTCAGCGGCACGAGCACAGGGCAGCACTCGATCTTGTTTCTCTTCGGAGCACTTTCGATCCAGCACTTACTTCCGGTTTTGCGAATACTCAGAATAAAGTTTTCCGAAGAAAAAAAAAGAAAATTAAATCGATAGTTTTGGTTCAAGCTGGCCACGTGATGCGTAGGACAGACAACCGGTGCTACGTAACAGCATCACAATGGTTGCCGAGGGATGGAAAGCGCTGTCGAGATGTAAACAGGGATAATAATACTATCCGGGATTGACGTCGCAGAGCCAAGACATGACTGAGACGCCATCGTAAAGGGCTGCCTAAATTTCGACCATATGGTGTTCTTGAACGTGCACTTACATCACACACTACACGGGCCTCTAACACTTCGCTTCCACCGAAAGACCACCGCCGTGGCTGAATTGAACCCACGACGTTCCCGGTCAGCAGCCGAACACCTTGGCCACTGCTCCACCGGGACGGACAAGGTAGGCAGCGAGTTTAAGGGAGTGTAGAAATTAGTACGCTTGCAGGGATAAATGGAATCGGCTCGCACGGGCTAGAGTAAGCTGAAGGTCATCGGGAGAGGCACTAGTCATGCGGCGCGGGCTAAAACAGGCTGGCCAATGATGGCGATGAAGAGTTACACTGGGTACTTACGATGACTTATGAAAGTTATCTTAGTTAACTGAAAAATTGTCCACAGTTGGGATAAGTTGCGGCACCTGGCGGAGCTGATCTGAACCACGCTCTTCTTTCTTGCGTGGACTCTGGGATCAGCTTCGGCAGCAAACTAAGTAATTTACAAGGACACGATGACGTGGGAATGCCACTACCTGATACCTAAGTTACGGACTAAGATCACCCATTATTTTTTTTTTCATTTTTTCTCCCACAGTGTACGTCTAGCATCTTCGCTGTCTGCAGAGATAGTACAACCTGCTTCCTTCGAATAACAAGCAGCGTATAAATGGTCTTACGCGTTCGTTAAACGCACCTATCCTAATAGATCTTCAATCACTGTTCGACACACTTCTAATGTTCGTTGGCAGGCTGAAATCACCACACACTGAGGCCGTACAACAGGTACTGGACGTTTCTGCGTCCGGTGCATTCAGTAAGCACCAGGAACCGACGATCTACAGTGGAACGTGATGCGCCTGACGTCCTGCGTCCGCTACTGTCGAACGCGGCCGTCACGTTTAAGCTCACGTGTTTTTTAGATGCGGAAGCATCTTATACTCGCGCCTTGTAGTGCGCCGTCCGCGCCGTCCGCGCCGTCCGCACCACTTCTCGAACATTCGACAGCTGACGCGCGCGCATGCGCCGTCGCGCCGTCGCCCACTCTTCCACCATCTGTGCATCCCTTCCTCCTCTACACACCGCGCGCGCTTCACTCCTCCACCATCTGTGCACCCTTCCTCCTCTACACACCGCGTTCGACATCTACAATTCTCCTGATTCTCCAGTGGACGCGCATGTGGCGTCGCGCTTCGAGAACATTCAACAGCTGACAGTGCATGCGCCGTCGTGCTGTATATATACTCAAGGTCGGCGCTCGCTCGCTCAGTTGCCGCTCGTCGGTTGGTTTGTACGGCGCGTCGACGTCCAAGGTCGCGGTGAAATGAATTCCAACGAATCCACAAACACAATGATCGACGTCCCTTCGACCAGCGCCGCCCTTTCGCATACGTGTGTACGTGTTCACTCATTTAACACCCCCTCCTACAACCACGTTAACCAATTTAGCCATCGACCCAAGTAAGTCGCAATTTAACACCCCATTTCACAACCACGTTAACCAATTTAGCCATCGACCCAAGTAAGTCGCACTTTAACACCCCGTTAACCAATTATATGGTCCGCATCCTCCTCAGTGTTCCCCCGAGGGAAGCTGCGGGCAATTTTTTTATTGTTTTCTTCTTTCTATCTCTCTCTTTTAATCCCTTAATAACCTTCTCCCGATGTAGAATAGCAAACCGGACGCTCACCTGGTTGACCTTCCTGCCGTCCCTTCCTTTACCGACTTCATTGTTTCCTTTTGCGTGACGTTGCGAACATTCAAACTGAGCTGCTTCGCCGGTAATTTGTGTTTGTTTACCGTCTACTTGCCGGGTGATGCCTCGCCACGGCGCCGGTAACGATTTATGCCTCTCGACACAAAGCGCGCTCCGTCATCAGCCCGACGACGACGTGGCGACATTCGGCAGCGACTACGAAAAAGCAAAAGGCTTTTGCATGTCAGCGCGACGCGTAATGAGCACGTATAGGCACTAGAGCCTTGACCTAATTCCACCCTATTGTGTCCTGTTCATTGTTGTTGTTTGCATCTAACGGTCGTTTCGATCTCCCGATCACGTGGACCGGGTTCCAGCGTCGGAAGGTTTGCAAATGACCGCCACAGCTGCCACGCGTCTTGCGTGGCGCTTACTTGACGGCTTTTTGTTGATCTACAAAGTTTACAGCGCGTCAAAATCCGAATATTTTAACCAAAGAAAAATGATTCGATAAGTGCCCTCTTCTTTCTCTTTCCTTTTTTTCGGAGGGGGGGGGGGAGGAGGGTGGCTAAAATTAGGATAGATAAAATTTAGACTAGGGAGGTTGAATGCGAACAGCAAGCTGATTGAGTGAAATGTCGGAAACAAAGTAACAGGTATACATAATAGAAGCGGTGTGATTTAAGCATTGTATATAGGTGCTTTAGAGTCAAGAAAAGGGATACTCATAAAAATGAAGGTCAGTGATGTGGGAGAGAAAAGAAAGAATAGCTCAGCTGTGCAGGCGTTCTCTGTTAGTTGACTTTTGCGGCATCTATCTGTACCGATGATCATGGAAAAAATTGATTTCGACAGCGAAGAAGTGGTGGCCTCGTAAAGCTTTTTTGGCGCAATAAATACAAGTCCAGTCTTCTGCCTCGTGGTGCCTTTCTTTTTTTTTTTTTGCGCTACCACAGTGTTGATTCACACCAATCAGTCTGCCAACGTGTTGCGTTGAACCATATAGGTTGGTTGTCGAATTGAGTCTTATTATCGACAGCTGATTTGAAAAGCATCTCTTCCCTCTTTGAAAAATGTTCACAGCGAGACAGTTCCAGAAACGCGAACCGAGATAATATGTTGAATAACTAGCAGCGTTACGACCAGTCTAACCGCAAATAAACTGCTTTGTTTTTCTTTTTCTTTTTTAACTTTTTTTGCGTGTAATTATGCTTACTTTACGCTCCTGGACGCCTGTGTAAGGCTTGTTCGGTGTTGCCCTGTTTGGCTCTTCCGTGCACTATAACTGACCCGAGCATGTCTTTCTTTTTGTTTCACTAACTTACCTAGCTTCAAGAGAAAGGTATATTGCGTACGCTGTTGATAACACCAAGTCCGCTCACAGAAACATTGTCGAACCGATTGCTGCGACGCGGTGAACGTATAAGTAACAGGTATACGATCTACCTTTCCGAGTTATTTTGATATTCCTGCCAGTCGTAAGTTGTCGGCCAACACGATAGCGGTCGGGCAGCTGCACCATAAGCTCAGACTTACACGCGGCAGTTCAACAGGTTCAGTCCACGTCGGTACTTCGTGTCGACAGACATGTGTGGTCACCTGGCCACACACGGAGCAACAAGAGAAACGCCCGCGGTGGTCTAGCGATGCGGGTCCCGTATGTATACTTGCGCAGTGTAGTACAACAGGCTACTGGATGACACAGGCGTGTGCGACGCTGGCGAAGAAGCGCTGCACACGGCCTCCTTCTTCGACCATGCCCGGGTCGTCCAGTTCGAGCGCGATGTGCTGCTGCGGCTGTAGCCGCTGGGATCCGGGGCTGTCTGGTATCGGTGCATGCTCGGGGGCCCAGCCAGGGCTCCTGCAATTGTCACCTGGGCGGCGGCACCGGCCGCGGCCGGTTGTCCAGGACCTTCTCGATCTCGCCCATCACGGTCGACGTCAGCTTGGGAACCACCTTAACAGAACCAATGTGCGATTATTTAGTTAATTGCATGATATACACATTTCGTGTGAACGTGAAAGCGTTAGTGCAGTGATAAGGAACGACTAAGTTATTCGAGTAGCGATTATTTTTTAAATGTGGTTCCTAGGACGCGCCTAACCACGCTGGTTAGTACATGTTTAAGGCGGGAACGAGCTTCTCTAGGTGCGGGACGGCTGAGAGAACGGACAGACAGGCGAGTAGCGCTAAAGCATTAAGGTGCCTCGATGCCAGCGTTCGTTCGCACAGGCTAGTGACACCAATTGATCACGCCACCGCCATATTGGGTCAAACAGTAGACGCTGTCACAAGCCTGCAGTGTGCGAAGGAACACTGGCATCAGTTAGCCTTAGTGCCGTGTCAGTCATTATATCCCCGTCCCGTGTCGAGTGTTCTTTATTCTGGTCGTAATAGTGGTTAAGGCTATATACACTAATTAACTGCTGCAACTTTGAATAGCATGACGTCGTAAATGTTCCTTACAAGAGATAACTGTACGTGCCTTTGAGCTGCGGACTCTAAGTCGTAGAGAAAGATTGCACCATTGCTATCTATCAAATATGTCTCATAGCTTCGGAGTCAAAATGTATACCATATCCAGTATGCTTTCGCACATGCACTAAACAACTACCTGTTTGTTGCACCTTGATTATTTCTAGCGCTAGAACCTCTCTCTGAGCACACACTATTGCTACGCAAAGAATTAGTAGACAAAAAGCGCTGCAGCAGAAAGTATTATTTTAGGATATCTGCGCAAAGATGGGCGAACAGAGAAAAAACAACAACAATGTAGACACAAAGAGCGCAATTTCGCACATATCCTAAAGGTAAGACATACGCCAACTCGCCCAACAAGTTCTTCCAAATTAGCAGAAAGTGTGCTTACTCACCTGCAATGCGCCCAGGTGGTCGTACAACTGGTCCACCGAGGAGGCGCCCACGAGAACGGTGTGCACGTGTTCGCTCTTCAAGCACCACGCTGTGTTGGCGGGCGTGGGCACATCCACCGAGGAAGAGACAACAAGAGCGACACAATGCCGTTGTCAGTTTAAAAGCGAGCCGCTTTGGATATAGTGCGACGTAATCAAACAATGACGAAATCACGCAATGACGGAAGATTGCGTGATGTGGCCCAGTATACGTGAGTCGTCATATATCATCATCGTCATCACAATATGCATTAATCTGTGAAGCAAAGGAACGTGATCACGTGTCTCGACAGCGTGCTATGTAAAATGGTATAGTATAGCAAAAGGAAGGAAGGAACAGGAGGTAAAGGCAGCGATCATCTATAGCGACCGGTACGCTGTACTCCACACTGGGGACAGAGTTGAGAGAGATTGAATAATGGAGAGAGAGGAGGGGAGAGCACACACACCTAATGTCGCACTTCAAAGTAAATGTATGCGTACCGATAGTGAGCTGATTGCAGCTGCAGCCGAGCCTGTCGGCGATGTACGAGAGCTCCTGCAGCTTGGAGTGTTGCCGCGTGAAGCGGCCGCCGGACTCCTCGCAGATCGCCTTCTCCGGACGGTCCACCTTGTCCGTCACGGCCGAAACGTATTGCTGTGCGTCGGGGCGGGAAAATGCGAGGACACTCTTCGATGTATCGTAGAGTGACACACTCTACAACACACACAAACAGGGATCACCCGCATATACATATTAAGAACACACGTGTGTCGTATAGTATCAATATTGTGAGGAACACAATTTTGGCGCGTCACGGAGGCTTCCTTGTCTTTGCCTAAAACGGAGTACACTGGTGCAAAAACTTGTTCTCGGAGAGTTTCCTGTTCGACTCGTGCAATTTTTTTTTTATTGATCCGCGTGGTGGAGCGATTTCTTGTCACATCCACCAAACAGCAGAGTATCAAAAGCTTTTCTTTTTTTTCTTTCGTTATCTTTCGTGAACTGATTGTAGGTTCATTCATTCAGTTCAGTTTATTCATTCATTCAAAATACAAAATTCGTAGAATGTAGTATGCAGACGAGGGTCCCAAAGTCAGGTTAGCTTAAGGAAGCCGCACGCTGCTTTTTAATTATATAAATACATGCTACAACTTTACCGTTTAACTTTCTGGTTATTTTTTTTTACTTTCGTGAAGCGGCTCTGCAACATCTTTTCAAGTAGCTATGGAATGAATTCGCCAAATGAGCTTATTGCCTCGTAAATGCACCACTGAAAAAAAAAATGTTTAGAATCCATTGAGTACGAGCAGAGTTGAAGATTAGTCGCACGCTGCAATAGCATTTTCTCTACTCTCGTCCCGACGAAAGCGCTGGAAGCTAAGCAAGGGGGGATATGTCAAAAGGAAAGAAAATACCTCACGCGCACTTGTGACGCTGAGAACTTTTGCTCTTTTTTTTTTGAATAGGTGATTTTTCGGTGCGATCACGCGCGCACGCGTGGACAAGTCGCAGCCTCCCGCGGTGGCCCCAGTAAGGCCGCGTTCACACTGAGCATTCCGGCCGCCGAAAGTGCTCCGAATCCGGTTCGACGGCGGCGAGATCCGCCGAAAGGGCGGCCCTCTCCGCGCCGATCGCTCTCGGACCGATTTTTGCGCCGCCTGCCGCCGAATCGGTCACTGCGGACCAATATGAGCGCTAGTCAAGGAATTTCGAAAAATGGCGGCCAAGCCCTACTTACTTGTTATACCGCAGGGTACGTAACTGAATGTTGAAACCAACGGGAGTTTAACCTACTCTGTGCCTACTTCACGTCCGTATTTCGTGGAAGAGGTGACCGAGCTTGCTGTTGGCGTGACCGAGCTCGTTGCAGTCTTGCAGAGCAAAACGAACCCACCAATGCCACTGGCGTCGGTGGTTTTTCTGCTCTTCGTGCATTACAAGACAGCCACTTGCCAGCAAAGTATGCAGTACTGTCTTTTCTTGCTTCTTGCGTACGACAATCGTCGAAGTATACACCACCAGAAATCGTAGTGGCGTTCGCGAGCCGCGACAACAACCAAGTGGCAGTGCATCCATCCCGCGTTCGCCCCGTAGTAGATGGCATATTTGGCGGTGCGGGGCACGTGCAGTGCGAACGGCACTGCGTTTCGGCGGCAGGGGAATTTCGGTCGCTGTAGAAAGCGGATGTTTCAGTGTGAACTAGGCTTAAATGACCTTGCATGCACTGTTCAAGTATACCGATGGTTCATACAACAGCTGTGCGACGAGTGATATTTGAGTATGTAGCATCATTTGTCGAGGAAACAAAAGTGATTTTTAGCTGACTTTGAGAATTTGTTGTGAATTCCAGGCCGCGTGCTGTGCTACAATACTTGGCTCTTGTGTTTTCGGGAGCCTCGGCTACCGATCGGCAGCGTTTTCTGACCATGCTCAAGAAGTGTTGATTCATCATCATAATCTGCCTGACTACACCCATTGCAGGGCAAATGCCTCTCCCATGATCCGCCAATCAACCTGGTCCTGTGCTTTCCCTTGCCACATTATACCTGCGAACTTTTTAATCTCATCGGGCCGCCTAACTTTTCTGTCTCCCCTTCGTGCGTTTTCCTTCTCTAGGAACCCGGTCAGTTACCTTCAATGATCAGCAATTATCCTGCCTACGTGCTACGTGCCTGGACCATGTACATTTTTTCTTCTTGATTTCAACGATAATATCCCTAACTCTTCCCAGTCTGGGGAAGAGTTAAGGATAAAAGTGTTGCAGGGCCCCTTTAAGTTTGTCTTGTTATATTACTTGTTGAGAAGCGTTTACGTGACTTATATTGCTTAAAGGATGTCCAACTCAGAGTTGGCCGTAAAAGAAGCCTTTGTACGCTTATGCAAAGTATATCTGGCTTGCATGTGAACGAACGGTACACTGACGCTCCCATTGCGATAGACGGGCTTGTGTATAAGCATAGAGCGATCTGACGAGCCACGCGCAGAACCACAGGGATAGCAGTGATCTACGTGAAGAGGCTAAAAAGCACAGCACTCACTCTGAACGAGCCCCTTGATAGTAGGTTGACGCCTTCGTCAAATTTTCCCGTCAGAACACCGAAGGCCTGCGGCGACCACGACATTGTGCCTATCCCTGCACGACGAAAGCGTTGCCTGAGTGAGAACGCCGAGTGTCACGTTTATCCGTGAAGAATTACTTGAATGTAAGCTCCAACAATTTTAAACATATATTCCAGAATATTTCTTGTACAATATTCGCAGGCAGCGTTTTCATTATCTGCTTGAAGGTAACTAACTCCTGCATGGTAGCTGAAGGACCAACTACTACCCTGGTGAGCCAGGCTATTGAGGTAAACAATCAAGACACGATTATAGTCGTAATAAGCGTGTGTGCTGACCGATCTTTTGGCACAGCTCTGGTAGCTGCAGTTCCACCTTGTCCCTGTGGAACATGTGGTACTCGGTCTGTTCCGCGACGGGGGGCACCAGGTGACACTGCCTCGCCACTGTGTACGCTTCCTGTTAAGGACATAACGAAAGAATTAAGACAGCCTTATACCACGTGGCAAGCGTCTTTTGACACATCACGCTTACGATTATGTTGTCCCTTCGAAGCAGGCATTCTTTAGTAGGAGGAGAAAAAATGAAACCTCGAGCCCCTACTTTCCAGTTTGTCCCTCTCTCCCTTTCATAGTCGGTCGCAGGGTTCCCCTTCAGGGGGTGGGGGGGGGGCGAAGGTTCGTCACAGTGCCCCCCTCCTTGTTATGTCAATGTACAGGGCTAACATTTGCGTCCCCCCCCAACTCCCCTGTGTGCCCGCCTATGCTCCGTTCTATTTTACTCTTACATCTTTACCCGTCACCTATACTATAACTTAAAAAGTCGTACTTTTTCTTGTTGCATAACTCATACGGCCCTTGAAAGGCATTTATATAAGGGTCACGTTGGGTGTTTACCGTGAACATTGGCTGTGGTTACAGTAAAACAGTTGTACAGCCGCTTACAGAAACATCAACGAATCAAACTATAAATTAACACTCAGGTATAAAACGGAAAAAGATTTTGCAAATTTGCAGACACGTTGTTCAAAGCACAATAGTTAATCTATATTAGGCGAACCATTTAAAATTCGTACAAACGTGTCATGGCCTACTGTACACACAACAACGCACTGTGGTAGATTATTCCAATAAACAGTGCCAAAAAACAGTGGAGAGTTATATCGAGGTTAGGACGCGCATATACTAAGACTAGCTTGAAGACGTGAACTATGCGCAGAAAAATGTGATGTGCAGGCTGACTGTAAGGAGTAGAAAAGAACGATTATGATGAAGCTTGCGCAAGTGAGATAACGGTGCCAGATATCTTCTTTTCTCTCAGGTTTTACTATGCTCGAACAGCGTAAGTAGTGTCTCGTCATAAATCGGCAACTTTATTCTAGATATACTTGAAGTTATAATTACATTTCATGCGGGTTCCGAATGAGTAAGACATATTCTATTTCAGAGAGAACCAGAAAGGCGTGTAGGTGCAAGTTCTGTCTTCTGGCTTCCACATTTTTGCGCTCTTTATTCTTATGGCGTCATTCATTGGCGGATTTGGAGTGACCCACGAACTCGGCGCCGGAGCACTCCGCTCTGGCGGAGGGCAACAAAAGGGAATGTGCCAATGTAACACATGCGCTCCCTCTGGAGCAAATGGCAGGGTCAGAATGGAACGCGATGCGCGCGTCTCTCTTCTTGCTTAGGTACAGTGTACTAGCTTGGGTGGGTACACTGGGCACAGCGACGCTACGCTAGCAAAACGCGAGCTCTGATGCGAGGCGCAACTGACACGACCGGCGTACGTTGGCGCGCCCAAAGTTGGCATCATTTCCAGGCCCGGGGCGCCCGTGACTTCCTATTGAATCTGCCGATTTTTTCGGAGTAGAAAAAGTTGCTCCGTGGAGTGGATATCGTGATGGAGATGCTCCAGACCTGCCAATGGAACATACATGAAGCACTCTCAATCTGCCAATGGAAGAGACTTGCTCCACATGGAGCAGCAGAAGGTATTACCGTAAGTGCTCCGAAGTCTGCCAGTGGACGACACCATTAGCCTTCTGGTGCCAGCGTGCAGAATAAAGTGCGCTTGCGCTGCAAGTGTCTAATGTCAAAGAACCCGCAAGAGCAGTTCTGTATGCACTTTCGTTTAGCAGAGTTTGCGCATACGTTTCGTATTTGCATAGTTTAGCATTAGCAGAGTAGTTGGTTTGACATAGTGGCGTGGCCCCACCGCGGTGGTCTAGTGGCTAAGGTACTCGGCTGCTGACCCGCAGGTCGCGGGAATCGAATCCCGGCGGCAGCGGACTGCATTTTCGATAGAGGCGAAAATGCTGTAAGCCTGGTGTGCGCTCAGATATGGGTGTACGTTAAATAACCCCAATTGGTCGAAATTTCCGGGGTCTTCCACTGTGGTGTCTCATAATCATGTGGTGTTTTTGGGATGTGAAGCCCCACATATCAATCATCGACATAGTGGCGTGTGGGAATACGCACTGGCTATAACCACGACGGAAGACATATTGAAAGTAGCGCTGCAGATTATTGCTAACGCTAAGCCTGCATTACATGCGGTTGCTGGGATGGTGTAGCTGCGATCAGCGAAAATGGGTAAGCATCTATTTAAATATAGTAATTCTTCGTGTATTCTGCCCTAGAGAAATGAAATTTCAAGAAGAGATTGCCAAGAATGCAAGCGTAAAACGTCGCAGGAAGCAAGGACAACTTCATAGAGAAGCCACATGATGTTATGAAAAGGCACTATTAATAATAAAGCCTCGCCGCGGTGGTCTAGTGGCTAAGGTACTCGGCTGCTGACCCGCAGGTCGCGGGATCGAATCCCGGCTGCGGCGGCTGCATTTTCGATGGAGGTGGAAATATTGTAGGCCCGTGTGCTCAGATTTGCGTGCACGTTAAAGAACCCCAGGTGGTCGAAATTTCCGGAGCCCTCCGCCACGGTGTCTCTCATAATCAAATGGTGGTTTTGGGACGTTAAACCCTACATATCAATCAATCTATGAACTATTAATAATAAGGACAAAACTCAGATGGTATAAGGCTTAGATCAATATATTTAGGCAAATGTTAGCGACCCATATTTAGCATACAGTTTTGTTTTAAGCTCATGAATCTAACTTGGAGCACGACTAGGTAAAGCCATCCTCTGGAATATAACCGAACTGCAGTCGGGAAAGTTTGTGACGCGTGCTGCTTACCATTATTTCCACGGCGCTCCATCGTGACGTTCCCCAGTACATGGCCGTGCCCTGGTCAATGCAGTACGTGCACGCCCGCACTATCTCTGCGGGGTTAACGAGAAGGAAGAAAGACGGTGAAATACTGTAAACTTGGCACCGCAGCAAATGGAAGTTGTGAAAGTTCAGCTATCTCGATTTCGTACTTCTGTAGCTTCTGGAATAAGTATACAGTCTACGTGAAGCTGACTGGGATAATTCCAGAAGTTACACGATAACGGTTTGTATGCTCACGGAAATAATGAAATGATTCAAAACTATTCTAATGTTGGTCTTTAGTGCCCCTCAGATTTAGGTGCGTTGAAAAGTCATACTTATGCGTAAAGCTCTTTTTCTCGAATCTACCATATCCGAATCTTCTCTAAGGTACCAAGATTTATTTATTTTTGTGACACAAAAACTGTACACTGACCGTCAGAACCTTAGGTTCTATTCCTTACAATGAAAAATATAACTACGCATCATTCTGGAGTGACGTGAACTTGCCTTCCATGGGACACATTGAGTCGGCCTTGTTGATTAGCATTATGTCTACGTAGCTCAGCTGTAGCCGCTCCAGCGACGCCTGGAGACCTGCCAAAGACGCGAAGACAGGAATGCAGTTAATTACCTCGCTTATGCGCCAAAAATATGCGTCTCTTACGGCTTCAAGAGGTGCAATATGTGGCGCGAATTGCAGGTCGATTTCATACACGTCTGTGTCAACGCTCGACGTAGACAGGCAGGGTATCCAAATACCAGTGATCTGCCATACCCCGGAGGAGAGATCAATCTTCAGCAGTGCGCGCTTAGCATATGCCTGGGTATTACGTCTGCTTGAACCGTGGTGTGTTGTTTTGTGTGTGGGCCGAGAGCTCCTACATATACCCCTATTATTATAGGCACCATCCGGTACACGTCATCTACTGGATGTCGTACGTCTTTGCCAACAAAGTAAGGGAAATATCAGTGTCAGTAAGTATGTGCGTTCTATCAACTGCGGCTTAACTTTCATATGCGACTGTTACTGACGATATGGGCTGCAGGAGAAGTCTGGGGCCACGTTCATGGTTTTAAACGCACGCGTGTTATGGGTTGCTTATGTTTATCTAGCGGGCAGAATGATGGAAGAGCAGCTGTCCGGCTGTGTTAGCAGCTAGACGATTCCCTGTGTAAGATGGCACTTCATCAAGAATACATAATTTACTGCAGTCGTTGCCTAATAAGCAACGGCATTATTGATGAAGCGGTTCGTAGTCGGAGCAGTTAACAGCTGCCAACCGGTTGTGAAAGCTCACTGATGACCATGCTCCTTTTTGTCATATGCCTTGCTAATGAGATTTGGCCGACGACGGAGTGTTTCTACGAGAACAAAGTTTGTGAAGTTGGGCCCTAGTGTTTCTATACTATGGCGAACGTTATCACTGCAGTTCTGTTAATGTTCCTGCGGAACTAGTGGAACTCCGGATATTTTAGTTCCCTAAAATACCCGACCTTTTCAACACCCTTTATTACTCTTTTTCTGAAATCTTCCTGACATTAATCAAGCCAACAACAAGACGTTGATTATTCGAGAAACCGCACCCGACTTGTGTGTGAAAGCGACGCGAAGAAAACCATCCTATAGCGCACACCCATGGCTCTCATGTAGGGACATGTCAATTGAAAATAAATCGCCTCTGTCATTTGAATAAGCGTTTATTCTCACCTTCGTTTATTGCTCCAGTAGCCAACCAATTTTCGACTTGTGGCGTTGTTATCTAAACGCCTTACTTCTTGAACACTTTAAGTACGTCCCGCTATCACACCCAATGGTGGCCTTTCCATTATTGTGCGATAGTACTAATGATAGGAAGCTAAGAAATGCTGTTTTCTAAACGTCGCCTTTGTGAATTGTGTAATCTTCACGTGCTCAGTATCTCACCTTCAATGATGGCTTTCCTGGAGAGCCCTCGTTCGGAATCAGACCTTCAGAAAGGAGGTTGAAGAAGAAAAAAGAAGTTACACAATTTGCGCGGTGGGACGTGGCAGCGTAGGTTAGATTTAAGAAAAAAGAACGAGGGGTAAAAATCACGATAAGTACAGGTAAGGTAGAAGGCAAAAAAAAATTGCGTAGGGAAAGTAGTTAGAGACTATCGTGCTTTGTTACGGCATTCATTCGTGTTTATTTTTCTTGAGATCGTTCGTAGCGCCACTTTTCCTTGGGCATGTAAGACCAAGTAGCTCCACTATAAACTTTACCTGCCACAAAATAAAGGGAAGAATATGTTCGAAGAGCGTAGGTGACTTTGTACTACTCGCTTCGTGAGCAAGGAAACGTTTGTAAGTATTGCGTCACGTGGCACAGTACTGGTCTAACTACGGAGATGTTGAGAGTTGTGCATGTATTGTCTATGTTTCCTGGATTTGTGGAGATAAAATGAACTCATGAACTGCTACAAGTAAGGTTACCTATACGCGCGATGACCGTACCTCACTAAGCGATACTTTTGTGTTTTATCTGCTTTCTTTGACCTAGCAGATAATTTTTAGCAGAATAGTATATTTAAGTTTGCAGTAAGTTTGCATTACTTTATTTTTAAGTTTGCATTGCGTATTTTTTTTTACCCATTGACTACAACATGCCGAACGTACACGCCAAGTTGCATATTTCGAGAGAGAGCGGCGGGGGGGAGGGGGAGGCTCTAGGAGGTGTAGACTTACTTTGTCGCCCAGAACAACTTTGTTGTGATCACGTACGACGACCGTCTGAAAATAAGAGAGAAACAAGAAAGTGTAATGTTAGCGACAAACTCTACGCAACGTTTATTCCGAAAATCACAAGCCTGTGTATTGAGCAGCACTGTAAGATGCAAATAAGGTTTTAGTTTGGATTCACAGGTGCCACCACCATGTGATTTGTTTACACGAATTATGTCTTAGTTTCGTGTCTCCTCTCGTGTCTTTAACTTAACAAGATCACAAGGCGGCGAATGCTTCCGTACAACCGTTCTCATGCATACACATTTATACTAATAGTATCATTCATTTAGTCGTCACAGAATAAAGAAAAATGTATGGCGTGGATTTGGTAAAGGCTATGCACGCAGCGTTTTATTAAACCTTCACCTAGTCACGTGGTAGCGCAGTAGTTACGCCTTCCCGCAGCGGATCACGTGGTGTGACGTCACGCCTTCCGCACTTGTGCTTCGGTAGCTCAAGTTCATTGTGACGCAATAAAGACCTTGGGAGGCATGACGCATTAGCTCGACAAAGGCAACTTTGCAGCTCGAGATGGCTACACTTAAACGCATCCATAAATAGTGAGTCCATAAATAGTGACATCTAGACTGCGAGTGTCGCGCAGCAGCATGGAATACTTATGGTAGCGCTTAGGTACCAGCATCATATGCTGTTAACATTTCCGCTTTGCAATGCAACACGTAAGCGATGTAGATTACACTTAACTATGGTTTTGCACATGCATTCGGAATTTCATGACCTCGTTACTGTGATTTCGCGACGTACGAAACAGGGAAAGCGTTCCTGTAGATGTCCGAGATGGCGACACCTTAAAACACAAAATAATTTTCGTCTAGGTTTTTTGCGAAAGTTACAGCTTTCACATTACGTATGCATTCAAAGCCTGGAGTTCTCACTCTGAATTAGCTAAGAAAAAAATATCACTTCCAAATGAGCATACTCTAGTGAGCTATATGCACCAGCCGCGTGAAGTCTGCGCATATTTTAGTGAGTGTGAATATATTTCCTGCGAATTCCCAGAGCACCATTATATTTGCAAAGTGCAGGCGCTTCTTTGCAAATGCAATGCGTCTACAGTCCCTCGCCACTCACGCATTCACAGACACGCACAAACGAAAACGTTCTTCACTTTACGCGCGCGTGTGCAAGGTCGTTCATTGTTAATGAATTGGCCTCTATATTTCGGGTCCGTACTCGTCTACCCCCTCCTGGATTCTCGACAGAGTTGGCGAGACGAAGCGAAGTCGAAGAAGAGGTGCCCTGGCGGGCATTTCTATTCTTATATGCGGTACGCAGCAACCGCATCCCCATCCCGCGCTCTGTTTTAGCCGTTTTTCCATCCTCATTTGGCGAGCAACGCCCCTGTCGGGCGGCGGTGCCTTCATTAGATTAGAAACGCCGAGTCGACGGTCACTGCAAGAGAGCAGGGGGGATGAATATTCCGAACGGGAACAACATCCACGGTCAAGCACAAACACGCGCACAGACTCGGAGTTTCTCGCAACAAGAGCATCACCAGAAGCGCATTGCATCAAGTTGAAGGGCAACGCTAAGACAAAGGACGGGGTAAATTAACCGAGACCAACGACTTCCTCCAACTCGCCTCCTGCCTTCTATTTATGTGCTTCTTTCACCTATTCTCATATTTTTTTTTACGGCAGGGCGAATAGCAGCGCAAGATCATCACAGTCCACGTCTCTTGCAAAGTAACCGCTGAGAGAAGGAATATACTTTTTCGTTTCTTTATGATTTACTTTTTGGTGCTAGGAAGCTCAAAGAAGAGAGAAGTGAATGATGATAAAAGGTGAGGGGGAGAGAGTGATAGGAAAGAGAATGATAATGATGGCTTATATTTAACATTTTTGTTGAAGCGATTCGACGACTATAATAGTAACCACCTGGCCTTGTGGTTATAGTGATGCGTTTGTCCATCTCATCATCTCTTCCACTTTGACCGTGCATTCTCATGCACCAACTCGTGGTTGCCCCGCACCCTATTTCGTGAGAAACGGTGAGAACTATAGCAGTCTGTGATGTGGGTCAGAACATTGTGCGTGTGCTTTGGCGAGGCAGAAGGAGAGGGACGCAACGCCGTTTTAGGGAGGCCGTTCAATGTTGCGAATGCACATTGCCAGTCCGCATTGATTATACCTAACCACTGTTAGCGTTTCCAGTTTCGAGGTGACGAGTAGCAGTCTAATTTCGCGTGGTCGTTTTACATGTTCGACTGCATTGCATCGCATTCCCTCTGTCATGAATGTTACAATGCTACGTTATGTATTCGTGAGTGCTATTAAAGGCACTGCGTGTACGCGAATTCGATTGTGCAGTGCTTTAATGTTTGCCTCTCCTATGCGAAACCGAGTACCGGTGTACACTACGCCGTTTACGACACGTCACAGTAGCAGACCAAGGTGCAATTATTTGGCACAGGCAGGCGAACACGAGAACTGGGGGACGAAAGGACGGAAAGGACCACGCAAGGCTATGGAGGCAGACTGGCCGGCTGGTCGAGGCATGCACTCACGGGCAAAATCAAGATCCCAGTGTAATCAACAAATAAACGAGCAATTTTGAGTCAAAAGCGGGACCGTACCAAGTAATTATTTTCCGTAGGAATATTCGCGTGAACGAGTGGTGGATGCTTTCAAATGTTCATGAGGCCTTTTCGCTTGAATTGGGGAGGTCGCTGACACATGAAACGGGTGTGAATTTCACCCTAGGTAGCATAAGTATACCGACCCAATAGTGTTTTCGGATAATGTGTCAGAGCCACCGAACCGTATACCTCCAGCTACGGCCTTCGTAAAGAGCGAGCATATAGCATAAATTCCACGATATTACTATCCCGCACAGTGGTTTCTGAGCATCTCGGTTCCAACTCGTAACGAAACAAATCCGATTCACAATTAAATTACGTCAAGGAAAGCATGGGATATATTATTTGTTGTTTTTAACTGTATTTTTAATTATTACGTTAATTGAGCTGCATTAAAGTGTGTTAAATACGGCCTTTCCATGGGCGGAATCCGAGATTGTGACCTTTGATCTGCGCGTGCAGTGCTTCTCACGCGCAGAGGAGGAGGAGGAAGGAAGAAAATGAAAGACAGGGAGGTGAACCAGATGCACGTCCGGTTTGCTACCCTGCACTGGGGGAAGTGGTGAGGGGATTAAAAGAGAAACACGCGCAGAAGTACAATACAAAGTGTACGGGGAAATCGCCTACTGTCGTGGTTAAAATGGTACAGCACCGGGCGCTTAATTCTGAGATTGTGAACAAGGAGGTCATACAAATACAACCCACAATTTCCTTGCTTGTGGGTTCAGGGCCCCGCCTATGAAACGAGTGCTTTTTTGAACAATTTTATTCCATTTATGTCATAATTACTACGCTACACTAAAAAAACTTATAATATTCCCCTGTGCTTTGCTTGACGCAATCATCGGTCGAATCATATAAAAACCATGCAAAACCATGTGAAAGGAAGAAGCGCCACGTCTCCCTCCTCCCGGATTTTTTTTTAAATTCTTAATTTTTATATTTTACGCATGCATACATACAAACGCGTGCACGAATATACATAAATGGTGGTTGAGGCCAGCACTCTCTTCCCCTTTTATCCGAAAAAAAAATCTAGCTGGGCCCATGACGAAGTTTGGTTACGGCTATGCCATCTTGAAAACGGCATGACAACAAGACGAAGTCATGTAAACAAACAACGTGACAGGCGCCGACTCGCAACTATCACTCACAAGGTGCACACCAACCCACATACTTGCCCAAATATTTGCTCTGGTTGTGGTTGTGAAGGTGGTTCTGGATGTCTAATTAAAAAAAGTGAGAGAAGAAAAAAACTAACCTGTCTAACAATTCTACTTCTCTCCTTGCTTCCCACTCACTGCTTTCACCGCGAGCACAACACGTCCGCACCGTGCTAGCACTCGTCTCGTAGCACCAAAGCTGGAGATAACAATGGAATCACACACATACAGAGAGTGCGGGGTCTCGCGCGGGTCGCTTGGAACGTGGCCAGAGCAGGGATACAGAGAGACGCACCTCCATCGCTTCTTCTTGAGCACCTTGCCAAGAGCCACCTCGGCCCTGTAAACACAAACAACGCGAAGCGCTTGCATTCGCTCGTCCTTCAGAAAGCCTGACTATACGGTTTTGTGTTGTTTTGTTTGTTTGTATTCCTGCCCTCTCGCGCTGTTTCCTTCTCGGTCACAAACGCACCCGCTGACGCGGTGAAGACAACGGGTGCTATTGAGTGCGACGCGAGACAGAAAAAGGGCGTTGGGCGTCAAGGAGGAGGGAAGAGATGAGGAGGGGGGAGGAAGAGGAGACGGTGAAAGGGCATACACTGCGCAATCCGCAGGTAGGGGCTAAAGCAGGGCATAGATGGTGGTGGAAATAACGGGGATTTAACAAAGGGAGCCCCTTTACGTTGTACCTCAACATGATTCATTCCGCAGGCATTCGGTTTGCAGAGAAGGGAACGGAGGAAAGACTTCTTACTCACTGCTGGACGCAAATATTGAAACACTGGAATGTGGTTGTGATGTGTATAAATGCTTGGTACTAACTCTTTCCAAACGAAGTTGGTATTAGAACACTAACAAACACACTTAAAAAGTGGCGTGGGTGTAACACGGGGGGTTGGGTGTGACGTCCATTGCGCTTACATAATAATAATAATAATAATAATAATAATAATAATAATAATAATAATAATAATAATAATAATAATAATAATAACAATGTAGGGTGTGACAAGCAGCACCACTGTCATTTGTATTTGTTCTACTATAACAGCAGTGCGAGTGAAGTATGTCAAGCAAGAGTTGATAGTGTTGGTGGGCGGTTGCTTGGTGAGTATTTGTACGTTGTCGAGCAAATATACCTTTCGTATAATTTATTTTCATTAGCTAAAACTCCACCTTCTTAGGAGTGTATCATCCTAATGCACTGCAAGGTAAATTTAACGTGGTTTACAAAGCCTGTACTGATAAATCTTACAGGAAAGAGACCGTAGCAGTTACATTTATTACAAAAATATTTCTAGGGGCTACATATTGTTACGCCCGAGGAGGACCAGGACGTATACGGCTGAAGGGGCCGTTTATTTTGGTCACGTAGAGAAGCGCCGGAGCGGCCAACAGGTTGACGATTGCAGTGTCGTCGTCTTCCTCCTTTCTCCAGCTTGGGGAGCCAGCACGTTCCCCTATCTTCGTTTTCTTCCCAGGCATGCGCAACATTCCTCCCCTCGCAGACGAAGCCCGCCGGGCGAGGTGATTGATTCACCTTGGTGTGTACAACTTCAGTCGAGCGACATGGACTGCTTGGGTTTTAGCGGCTCTTCTACCACTTCTCGTGAGGCGAGCTATTGTGTACGTGACTTCAGTGATTTTGTCGAGATTAACAAACTGTCCGTCATACGTGGCCAAGAACTTTTGGCGTAGCTCGCGTCTTCGTACCAGAGTCCGGAGCCACACTAAGTCGCCTGGATGGTAAGTTACAGGCCGGTGGCGGACGTCGTAGCGTGCCTTCGATTTTTCCTGTGATGCCAAAGTGCGTATAGACGAGCAATACGATGCGCCTCTTCTGCAAGGCAGAGGATTTCAGCGACTGAGAGGTTCTCGTGCGCCGAGAATGGCAAAATTGTGTCGAGTATGTGCCGTGGCGGTCGTGCGTACATAAAAAAAATTGGCTATAGCCTGTCGTCTCGTGCTTAGCAGTGTTGAATGCGTAGGTTATAAATGGTAGCATGTCATCCCAGTTCTTGTGGTCGGATGCCACATACATAGAGATCATGTTTACAATTGTGCGGTTGGTGCGCTCCGTGAGCCCATTTGTTTGCGGATGGTATGGCGACGAGTGACGAAGGCGGGACTCACTCAATCGAAGCAGCTCTTCTACTATATCTGCCTTAAATTGTCGTCCACGATCACTGATGATCACGTGAGGTGGGCCATGTCGGAGAATAACTTGTTGCAGCAGGAACACAGAAACGTCGCTGGCAGTTGCGGTTGGTATGGCCGCCGTGTCACAGTAACGCGTGAGGTAATTGACGCATACAATTATCCAGAGATTACCCTTAGCCGACTTTGGAAAAGGGCCCATGAGGTCAATGCCCGCTTGTTGGAAAGATGTGCTTGGAGGTGGCAAGGGCTGTAGAAAACCAGCCGGAGCAGTAAATGGGCATTTGTGGCGTTGACACTGCGTGCAGCTGGCCACATACACCTCGACTGACTGTCGCATTCCCGGCCAATAAAAGCGTTCCTTAGCAAGGTAAAGCATCCGCGCAGAACCTGAGTGTCCAGACGTAGGATCGTCGTGCATAGCACTTAAAATCGCCGAAGGCTTTGCGGAATGTCCGAAGGCTTTCAGGCACTACCAGGAGGAAACGCGCACCAGTGCTGTAAAAGTTCTTCTTATACAGGAGTCCGTCGCGTACACAGAAATGGCATGCCGTAGGAGCTGTGCAGAGCGATGATAGCCTGGTGTCCTTTCGCTGTTCATCTTTGAAAGTATACTGAGGTCGGGAAACTTTGGTGACACAGAAGCTACGAGGTGGTCGAAATCATCGGCGTCACACTCTGTAGTGCTCAGTGGCATACGGGAAAGGCAATCTGTGTCGCCGTGTTGTTGACCACTTTTGTACGAGACTATAAAGTTATACTCTTGGAGCCGAAGTGCCCAGCGCACTAGGCAGCCGCAAGGGTCCCGAAGGTTGACGAGCCAACACAATGAGTGGTGGTCGGTGACGACTGTAAAAGGGCGTCCATATAGGTAAGACCGAAACCGCTGAATCGCAAATACTACCGCGAGGCATTCTTGTTCTGTGACAGTGTAATTCTGCTCGGGCCTACTTGAGGAACGATTTGCGTATGCGATCACGTGCTCGCGGTTACCATAACGTTGAACTAGGACGGCACCAATTCCTATGCCGCTGGCATCCGTTTGCAGTTCTGTTGGAGCTGATGGGTTGCAGTGTTGAAGAACAGGCCGCGACGTCAGGAGGAACTTCAGTTAACGAAAAGAGGAGTCGCACTCCGGAGTCCACTCGAGGCAATATTCTTTCGTAGTAAACATGTCAGCGGATATGCGACATCGGCAAATTTAAGTATAAAGCGGCGAAAATAGGAGCAAAGCCCAAGAAAACTGCGGAGCTCCTTAACAGAGCGTGGCGCACTGAAAGTTTCAACGGCTGCTGTCTTCTGGGGATCTAGACGGATGCCATCCTGGTCGACTAGGTGTCCGAGATAAAGGGTTTCTCGGTCTCCGAAGTGACATTTCTTTCAGTTAAGAACAAGGCCAGCGTTTCTTATGCAAGTCAGTACAGTATCCAGACGTGAATTGTGTTCGCTGAAGGTGCGGTGAAAGATGACGACGTCGTCGAGATAGCACATGCAAATGCTCCTCTTCAAGCCACGAAGAAAAGTGTCCATAAATCGCTCGAACGTCGCCGGTGCGTTGCACAGTCCAAATAGCATCACGTTGAATTCGAAAAGGCCGTCAAAAAAGGCCGTTACAAAGGCTGTCTTTTCTTTATCTTCAGGATGCATGGGAATTTGCCAGTAGCCCGATCTTTAGTCTACAGAGAAAAAGTAAGAGGCCGAATGTAGACAGTCTATGGCATCATTATTACGTGGAAGTGGGTACACGTCTTTTTTGTTACAGCATACAATCGGCGATAATCGGCGCAAAATCTCCAGGATCCGTCTTTCTTTTTAACGAGAATTACTGGGGCTGCCCATGGACTCGCCGACTCTTGAATGACTCCGTTTTGAATCATTTCGTTCACCTGCTCATTAACTATCTGCCGCTCGGATGGCGAAACACGGTATGGCTTTTGTCTAATCGGATTGGCCAAACCAGTGTTGGTGTAACATGTCCGAGAAGCAGGGATTAAGGGCGCTTTGTCTTTCTGCACAAAGTCTAATGCAGAAACGTGCTTTGAAAGTACATTCACTAATGTTCGGCGTTCACTTGTGGTCAGCGACTTATTAACCATTGACAGAAGAGCCGTTTTCAAACTGTTACTACGATGCTCTTCCGGCGCATCTCCAAGCTCGGTCATCAGTAGGGCCTCGTGTTGTCCACTGGCGACGGCTAACTTTAGACCTTCTGGTAATACCACGGGTTTTGTGGAGCAATTGGCAGTCCATAAACCAGTGCGTCCACGTCTGACCGACACCACACAATGTGGGATCAACACATTCTTTTTCATGTAGTTGGTGTACACTGGTTCAACGTTGGCATCAAAGTTGGCGGAATAGCTGTCGCTGCAACCAACAGGTACACGAACGCTTGATAACGGCGGTATAATAGTGTCGCCACAGACACACAATGCCGTCTCACCATCCACAGGATTTTCCAAGAGTGCTGGCAGCACGTGATCACTCAAAAATATTGTCCCTGTGCGGCAATCGACAGTCGCACCACATTCCCTCAAAAAGTCCATACCCAAAATAACATCACGTGTTGCCTGCGGAATAATCACGAACTCTGTTGGGATAACGTGGCCTCCGAGAAACACGTCAGCTTGACACACACCAACAGGATGCAGTGGCTCACCACTCACTCCGCAAAACTTCGAAGCTTGATTCCACTTAAATAAAACCTTTCGTCCCAAGGTATCTTTAAAACACGCACTCATGACAGAAATTGTTGCCCCCGTATCCACCAAAGCCATCACAGGCACATCGTCAACAAAAACACGTACTTTGTTATTGAGCATCAACACAGGAGCTTTTTCTTATATTAGCACGTCTCCGGCGACTTCACCTCCATCGGCCGCGCTTGCTAGTTTTCCTGTGGCAAAGGAGACGTGTTGCGACGCCGCGGTGAAGGAGAACGGGGAACACAAGGCGGTGGAGGCGTCAAGCTCCTGTCAAATGTAGGGGAGTGGTTCTGAAAGCTGCGTGTCCAGTAGTCGTCGCGAGGCAGCAGGTGTGTTGCCCTAGGGTCGTCGTACGGTCGATCAGGCGATCGTGTGGAGCGTTGTGGTGGGCCATAGTACGTTGCTCGCGGGTCATCGCGAAGTCATTCGGAAGGCAGCGCAAAGTGTGGTGGGTAGCCATACCATGGGGCTACACGTCGACGGTTGCAAAATCGCGAAATATGTCCTGATACACCACAGGAGTAGCAAACTTTGAGAGGTCGAAACTCTCTTTGTTCGTCGATGAATCGAACGTCGTCTTCCCTGGCATAGTGGGTCGGTTCGTTCCGTATATCATAGGGATAGACCTGGCGTCGCGAAGAAGGCGGACGCTGGGGGCGCCGGTTCCACCAATCTGTTACGCACAAGGAGGACCAGGACGTCTGCGGCTGAAGGGGCCGTTTATTTTGGTCACGAAGAGAAGCGCTGGAGCGGCCAACAGGTTGACGATTGCAGTGTCGTTGTCTTCCTCCTTTCTCCAGCTTGGGGTAGCCAGCATGTTCCCCTATCTTCGTCTTTTTTCTTCCCAGGCATGCGCAACAATATATATATATATATATATATATATATATATATATATATATATATATATATATATATATATATATATATATATATATATATATATATATATATATATATATATGAAATGAAGTGTATACTTCTTTTCCTAATTCATTAACCAGGGTCTCGTACTGGCAGACTTGGTGTCTTCAGGTTGTATACGAGGGACTATTGCTCAGCTGCCCACTCGTATTAAGTTCGTGACGCCAAACAGGCTAAAATAAGTGTGCCACACTCGCCGCCATGGCTACTGGTGGCGCTGACGGACACTCCCACGTTTAATTCACATATAAACCCAATAAAGTGGCTGGGGGGATGGCTGTCGTGGTAGCTCAGTGGTAGAGCATCGAACTTGTCATTCGAAGGTCGCAGGTTTTGATCCTGCCCACGGCAAGTTGTCTTTTCACCCACTTTTCTTTCTTCATAGTTACATTACAATTCGGTCTAATATCTTCTCCTATACTTTCCTTGGCATTATTGTCTGTTAGATCTCATTAATACTGTGTGAAAGCAAGTATACACTTCTTTATATATATATATATATATATATATATATATATATATATATATATATATTGTAACGACGAGAAATAAGAGACAACGCCTTTGCTGCAGGCCGGCTGTTCTTATTCTGCTTCGTCTTCCTCGGCTTCCGTCACCCTGCCTGCGCCCTTGCCTGAGCCCCACTATTTATTATCATTACACTCGGCCCCGACTGCGAGCCTCGTGGGTTACCGACAATGTCTCCGGTGGGCGGCATTGACTATTCCGGGGTGGCCGGGCTCGGCCAAGCTGATATTTCACATGGAAGTTTGTTGAAGGAGATTCCGGAGGACGACACTGGCTGTGACGTGATGGTCGGTGCAGGCGTCGTCCACGATGGGGCCAACGCTGTTGACTTGGACAAGATGCCGCTAGCAGGAGATACAGACTCCTGCAAAGTGGCCGCGTTGGTTTAATCTCGTCGGTTTGAGCATCCTGTCGCAGTCGTGTTACAAATGCTGGAAATAGTCCACGCTGCACCGTCACCTGCTGCACTGAGCGTCGACGCCTGCGTTGCTTGCGGTGTGGCAAGGGGCGTCGGGGTGTCTTTGTAGTCATCTGAGAGCCGAGTTCAGGTTGCAGCTTGAGAGGCAACGCGTGCTCTTGCAGCACTGCCTTTGTCGGACTCATGCTCAAGCTGCTTATTCCTATAGTTTCACGTGCAGTAGAGCCTTCATTGTCAGATGACCTGTCACTAACCGGAAGTATTACCTTCTCTGGTAGGTCTTTGCTGACAGTGACTTTGAAGGAGGCGGCGCTTAGCGTGTGGCAGACGTCCGCACACTCGGCCACAGACTGACGTGATATCAGGAGATGTCGCTTCGAAGTGAGGGTCAACACTGTAGGGTTGTTCGTCCCAGGGTAGGTGGTTAAATTGGCTGTCGGGAAGCTGCAAAATACAGCTGAAGCCGCGAGGGTGGTCTCCTTCTGGGATCTATTCTCGGTAGCGGTCGCGTAAGACTGGGTGGTCGTGGAGAGGTGATGGTGACTCCGTCCAAAAGCAGCTATGAGCTTGTCACTCCAGTCCACCCAGGATGTCTGCCGCACGCCTTCGTATCGATGCCAAGCCGCGGCAGCATTCCGAAGGCGGTCTATGGCCATGCCCCACTTCTTTTGGTCCGTCCACGCTGCGTGATCTCCGACAGCGTTGACGGTTGCCACCCATTCCTTGGCATCGTCCTGGAAGCCGCGAAACTCCGGTAGCTCGAAGGAAATCGGCGATGGCGGGACTGCGGGCAAAACTCCGAAATGTGCCCACGCCAAGCAGTTCACTTGCTCTGATACCTCCGTGAGAGAACGCCCGAGATTGCGACGGTTCTCGGGCGAGCTTACCTCGAAGTTTTGTGAGGCGGCCGCAGCCAACATGGCATTGAGTGCGCACAATGTTGGCAAGATGGCAGGACATAGCTGGGAGCTCGACGCTATGAGGGCGTTGGTCGTGACGCGGAGTTGCGCGATGGTATGCTGCAGCTCCGCTGCGCTGTCGTGTGATCCGCACGAAGAGCCAAGGCCCGCCTCTGCGGAGGATACAGTGACTGCGGTACTCGAGGTGGTACAATTGCTGACCAAGGACGCGTGGACGGCGTCCCTTGGAAATCCAGCTGTGGTAGGAATCGTGGACATGGGTTCCAGGGCGCTGGAAGCGTCAACGACGTTCCCAGGCAAGCGGAACCCGTGTGATGAGTTGTGACCTGGTACTGTGGCGTAGATGAAGCGGTCTTGCGCCGCCGGGTAGGCCTCGACGCCGTACACGGTGGGTGCTTGAAGCGCCGACAGGTTGCCAGGTATGGAGGAGGCATGTACGCCATCCCTAGGTGAGAGAGGCCCGTGCGCATGGTTGCCGCGACGTGTCGCGTCCCAGGACAAGTTTCCCGGAACCACAACGGAGGCCTGGACGCCATCCGTCGGTGCTGGGATCGATGCTGGCCGCGACGGACGCCTTGCGGGTTCCATCAGCGAAGAAGCGTGACGGCGTTCCTTATCGTGAACTGGTACCGGTAACGGGTGCTGGAGCCGCCGAGGAGGCCTTGACGCCGTCCCCGAACGGTGGTGTCAGTAAACAGCTGCCGAGGAGGGCTTGACGCCGTCCTCAAGCGACGCTTACCGCGGCTGCACGTCGGCGGGCGTTCTGGATGACGAAACCGAGACGTAAGCCGTTTTCTTCGTCGGCTGCGCCATTGTAACGACGAGAAATAAGAGACAACGCCTTTGCTGCAGGCCGGCTGTTCTTATTCTGCTTCGTCTTCCTCGGCTTCCGTCACCCTGCCTGCGCCCTTGCCTGAGCCCCACTATTTATTATCATTACAATATATATATATATATATATATATATATATATATGTGTGTGTGTGTGTGTGTGTGTGTGTGTGTGTGTGTGTGTGTGTGTGTGTGTGCGTGCAAGTGATAGAGTAAAGTGACAATAATACAGTGGATTTTTGAGAGATCAATGTCCGCTTTGTCTTCCCGACGTGTTTCTTGATATCTTTTTTTTCTTTTTAAGTGCCATAAATCCATCGCATAGCGATATAAATTCGAGTTATAACTGTCTGGTTGGATGTGAGATGTACAGTGGGACGTGTGAACGTGACAGCGGCATATGGTGAAGTTGAAATCGGGATGTAATTCAATGTAATGTACGCATTCTAAAACGTGCAATGGGAATTTGAGACGTTTTAGAGCATTGTCAAAAATAAAGAATGAGAACAATGATCCGCAATGCACGGATACGTACTTTCCTCCGGCGTAAATGTCGGCCGTGTCGAAGACATTGATCCCATTGTCAAAGGCGGCTGTCACGATATCCTCCGCGACCTGCAAAGGAAGTTTGCAAACGGCTGATTATCCATGCAGCCCCATAAAGTCGTGTGTTGTTTTCGGTTGAACCCTCTTCAAATACTCTTACGCCGTTTCTGTCGTATGACAATCGTTCAAACAGCTACCGTGAGCTCAGACTGCGTTTTCTGCTTAGCAACTGTTATCCTTACGTTGAAGGACGTTTCTCCGAATTAGTGAAAGCAACTTCAAGTTCCCACGTTTCCAATGGAAAGCTATAGCTTTATAAGAAAGAAGTCGAACTCAGTGAATGGACAAAACGTATATTACGTGACGCAGGGATAATCTCAATGGTGTCGCGTTTACTCTGCACATGTAGAGGACCTTGAATACCTCGTGTGGCCTGTAAAGTTTTGTTAATAGCAAATCCCTGTTGATACTAAAGCCTTGCCCACTGCGATCTGACAGCCGCCATGATCATCCGGCTGCCGTAGGTATTGGTGGATGAAATTGGTGGTATCTACGATTCCTTAAATGTTCCTGAATGTGCGTACGTTGTTTAAAAGAGAGATGCAACACCGAGCAACGTCTTTGTGAAAGCGAATTTTTAATTGTGCAGTGCAATTAAAGGGAACATATGAACTGAACATGCGCTTTTCGTGTTGATGGTAACCTAACAGCAGACGGATCCAGAAAGTGCCCAACCAATAATTATCTGCTGTAACTTTTTTTTTTGCGGGGGAACAAAATTTAGACATTCCTTGACTACGAGTGTTCCCTTTAATGATGAAACCTTCTGTACACTTTCGCTGTCGGGCAAGTGCAATTGATTTTTGGATAAGGCAGAAAAATAGGCCTTTATTTAATCAGCATTAAAACAGTCACGCTAGCTAAGACATGACAATTGTGTCGATTGTGCTTGCTATTACAGCGAAAGCCGTTAGGAGATCCCAACAAGTGTTGTTTTTGGCGCCGTAGTTCTTCGCCGCCTCCTCCACTACCAGTGTCCCTAAGCACTAGCGCGCGGAACTAAAAAGTAAGTAAAAAAAAGAAGGACACAATGGGACTCTAACCCGGGTACCCTACGTGCCATCACAGTATTCTACTTTTCTTTTCCTGTGAACCATTCTTTTCCTGTGAACTTTTTTTTTTCTATTCAGGAGGGGTCATTTTTACATGCAAAATTCTGCAACGTGTCATTCCACTACTTACCTCTTCTGATATTAGAGAACCGAATGTCACCCAGGTTCCTGAAATGACAACAACAAGGAACGTTTTGTTAGCTGAATTAAGGAAAGTGAATTCTACGAACGGCCCATGAAATTTATTTAGAATTTTTACGCAGCATGAAAGTCGTCCTTTATCTGGTTCACTAACACAAAGGACGGCAACAAGACTATACAAGATAGTGTATCATCGTTTAGATAGTAGCATTAAAATTTAAACGATGGAAACCTTCAAAACCAGCTTGGACGCTGCCTCTTCTTAACGTTTTCCGTGAAATAGATGGCATACAGAAAACAACAGACATGGCACCTCTAGTGACGGCACAGATGGTACTTCATCATTTTCACATAGTGCATAATGAAAAAACGAAGATATATACAGATGGATCATGCGCTGAAGAAGCGTCAGCCTCTGCGGTCTTTATACCAAAAATTCAGGAAAAGACAATGTACAAATCATCGCACAAATCTTCATCGACGACACCAGAAATGGTGGATATCTTTAAAGCAATGAAGCTTATCTGCGAGAATTCTGAGCCACGAAAGTGGGTGATGTGCACGGATAGCAAACCTCCCCTTAAGCTAATCAGAAATGCGAGTTCACCTCACAAAAATGATAAAATAGCACAATGTATTGCAGAAACTGTAGAATATGCCTCAGCGCAGGGTCAGAACATCGTATTACAATGAATAGCCGGTCACATTGAAATAAAAAGAAATGAAGAAGCTGACAGCCTCGCGAAGAACGCATTGAACGAAGGACGGGATTGCGCAATCCCTATGTCTGGGGCGGATATTCGACATTTTATAATGCAAGGAGCTAACCATTGTTCGATGGATAAGTGGTCTAATAGCCCTAAATTAAAGGAAACAGTGCTTTATAAAGTTGATCTACACAGAAACTTTTTCATAGTGACAGATATCCCAAGGCACTTAGGGACATTATTCTACAAACTTCGTTTAGAAGTAGCACACACAAACAGCTTCCTGCACGAAACACATCGATCCAACTCACCGGAATGCCATTGTGGTCATGCAGAAGAAAGTGTTTGTCATCTTTTTGGAGCGCGTTAAATACGCAATTGAAAGAGAAAAATTAAGGAACAAATTAGCAAGTTTTGACAGACTGCCCCTCACATTAAAGAAATTACTTGAACTATGGCGTGAAATGCATCTTTAGAAAAAGGTGAACATCTTCCTGACAGACTTTTCAGTGGAGACCGGACTGTACAAGCGCCTGTGATAGACAGCCAGGGATGGATATATATGAAATGGTGCATATACTAACAGTAGAAAAGGAAGGTGTGCGTGTAAACACATTATAACTGTGTGAACTTCTGTAAGAAAACTGTGTGTTGGCATGATGTTTGAACTGGTTCCAGTGTGCTATTATGTTTTTTATTCTTCATTTTTGGGTATCGTTCAGTATTATTCTTTTTTTTTTTTTGCTGCAGAGCTTCGTGATATGAAGTAGCCGAGGCAATAGGGACCTCAACCTCTCCACAGCAAAACAGTTAAAACAAAACAAAATGCATCAATGCAAATCCATCAAAACATGAAACTTTGACATACAAAGCTTGTGCTCACCTAAACCGACGTTTGATATGCGTAGTCCTGACTTTCCCAGATTTCTGCGAAGGAAGAAAGAAAGCCGCATATCCAATGGCAGCACACTACATCAAACGCTGGTTGTCGCTCATTTCACAAAAAAATATCACCTTTTTATTGTCGCGACCGCAATATATATGACAATCAATTTATCTGGTTTCACGCACCAAAACTACGATATAACCGAGGCACGCCATCGTGGTCAGCCACGGATAATTTTTATGAGCTACAACTCTTTAACATTCACTGATAGCGCCCACTACACAGATCTCCAGTGTTTCGAATATATTGAAAGAATAATGCCGAGATCGAGATCGAGCTCGCATCTTTCTGATCAACAGGCGAGCACTGTAACCAAAGGATCATCGTGGTGACAACCTCAAAACACGGATGTCATTTTAGTTATACTATGATTATATTAGTCTAGATTTCAAGCTTCTGTATGTGCGTGTTCTGATATAAAATGCAGCAAGTTTTTTTTTCAATGAAAAATAAACTATTAGCAGTGTCGCACGCCAGAAATGGACGCGCACGCTAAGAAGTAGTATGTTAGATAGTACATTCAATCAATCAATCTATATGATTTTCATTGACAAACCAAAGAAAATATTACAAGATATCTGGACCGTTAGCCTACATTGACTAGTGATCGGTCCATATCGGAGTACATAAAAGCAGCTTAGCAGAGCATATTTAGCAATAAACACTTATATACACAATTATTTATACATATAGCTATTCACATATGTACATACTATACACATAAGCATGTGTACGTATATGCATTTTCACAACATACCCAAATTATGAGCAGTAGTAAGACAATATGAGCCGTAATAAGAGTTGGAGTGATTGTTGGGTATTTCATGAATGATGCAGTACTGCAGGTCACTATGTGCGCGTTCAATATGCACCTGTCGACGCATACGTGAATACTGTTCGACTAAACGCATCTTCCCCGCTCATGGTGGGGAAGCATTTGAACAGAATGCTTGAAGTACAATAACGCAGGAAGCACTGCCGCGCGTCTTCCTTTTCTCACGTTGGGCAACGTAGCGTACCTGTAGCGTACAGCAGGCGGTGCGAACGTGGACACTTGTCTGGTGGGTGGCTGGCTTGCCAGCACGGAGCTGCCGCTGGACAGTGTGCCCTCGTCCAGGCACTCCAGGCTCGCCATGGGAGCGCGACAGCTGCGACGAAGAAAATGCGCGAAAAATGTTCAAGCAGTACCAAAGCACGTATCTGTCTATGTTTACGTACCAAGCAGCACCACGCTAAGGTCGAAGACAGATACGTGCGTTGTATCATTGTATGGGGTCATTCGTACGTATTTAAGTCATGAGAAATGAACCTTTATTTATTCAATACGCGTTAAATGAACAATGTAATTATTTAGGTAATCAATCAGTCTTTTATTTTTTATCACCTTGCAGAAAGTCCTTTTTTCCACCATGTCACATTACTGTAAAGCATCACTCCCCTTTTGCATATGTGTCTGCGGTGAAGCACCAACAAGTTTGGCTGAATGTACGGTTTTTATTTCTCTTTCTTTCTTTTTTTCGTTTCGCTCCGTTTTGTACGATAATCGACAAAAAGTGGCTGGTGCAAAATGGTGGTAGGTAGGTAGGTAGGTAGGTAGGTAGGTAGGTAGGTAGGTAGGTAGGTGGGTGGGTGGGTGGGTAGGTGGGTGGGTGGGTGGGTGGGTGGGTAGGTGGGTGGATGGGTGGGTAGGTAGGAAAGTAGGTGAGTGGGTAGGTAGGTAAGTAGGTGGGTAGGTAGGTAGGTAGGTAGGTGGGTAGGTAGGTGGGTAGGTAGGTGGGTAGGTAGGTAGGTAGGTAGGTAGGTAGGTAGGTAGGTAGGTAGGTAGGTAGGTAGGTAGGTAGGTAGGTAGGTAGGTAGGTAGGTAGGTAGGTAGGTAGGTAGGTATGTAGGTAGGTAGGTAGGTAGGTAGGTGCACTCACTTGTTCTGTATGAGCGCATTGGTGAGGTTGTGCTCGCTCTTGACACTCATGCAGTCCGAGTCGAGGGCCACGTACTGCCTGCCCAGCTTGGACGTGCTCAGCGCCGAATCAGCGTGCACGTCGCCCACCAGGCTCGGAGACTCTGCAGAGATCCGTCAGTGAGCCATCTCCGAGGCCACTCAATGTGTATGGAGAGAGCTGTGCTTGCGCGTCACGAAGGACACTGCGTTGCATCTATGCGATCTCGTAAGGTATAACGGACACCAACTGCTAATAAGACATAAAAGTATGTACCGAAAACAAATCAATGCCGCCGATGTTTACCGTGAAACATGGTTTCGAAGCTAGAGCAGGTGACTACAGCATAACATCAATGAAGACAGGAGGACCACCCACTTCTCTCGCCGAGTCGCGTCTATACAGTCACCTCATATTTGTCTCAAAGTCACTAGAGTTCTACGTTGTTATTGCAACGCCATTTTTCTCAATACTGATGGGCAGGCGCGTAGCGAGATTTTTTTTTTTTTTGGGGGGGGGGCACCTTTTTAAAATTGTCATTCTTTTTGTTCTCTACGACATGGCATAAAATTTAGGGGGGGGGGGGCCTGGTGTGCCACTCTCTGGCTACGTCCCAGCTGCTAGTGTAACAAATTGCTGTATATCGGATGCTTGAACTCCTTACCTACGGATTGCTTTGACTGGTGCAATAAAACAAACGGTCAGCCGGGTGCATGGCTTCGTAGGAGTACAATCAGACAAAGCCACAAAAGCTAACCAATGCTGCTTTTATTTTTAAGAGACGGATTCAAGAGGAACAAAATTCACTGGGAAACGCGATGACGATCGTCTTCTCCTATAGCCTTCTTCGTCTTCTGTCTCCGTCTTTTGCGCTGCCTCAAAAACAAGCCTTAATTAACCAACTCGCTCAGTCTCACGCGCCTCTGCTATTCTTGTTATGTGCGAGCATTTACATACACACACAACTGCTCGTAATGAACTTAACTATAAAAGCTTCACTGTGCCTTAGCAATCCGACCCTTTTCATGCTATTAGCTTCTTCAAAATTACGAGCATATGTCTTTGTAATCCCGAATGTACGACAGCCGGCCTAGCTAAACCTGGTGAACATTCTTGCCTTGCTTGTTTGTTTATTTACCTAGATACTACGACCCCTCTTTCCCTCTTCCACCTTCCTTGCTTCTTTCCTTCTCTCTGCCTGTCTCTCACTTCCGTTTATCTTTCACCTCTTCCTATGCATTATTAATGCGGGTCCCGCCTTTCTCTTGTTTCGTCACTGCGCACTCCATTCGTGCTCTCGCTGTTTCCATGGCTTCTCGATTTCCGGTTATTCTTCGTTCACACGTGGTGCCCTCGCTTCTCCTTCATAAATCCCTTATTTACACATAAACGCAGTTCAGCGGAGCCACGAGATTGGGTGAAACGCCGGGCGGGAGAACGCTGAGGTCTGCGCTGATGTGCTGAGTCCGTCGCGCGCTCTCCCGTGTAGGATCTCGCGACGATGATGCCGCCGGCACAATTTATAACGCACGTGCTGTGGGCGGCGCACGAGCGGCCGCATCCGCGGTACACAGCTTATGCGTAGTGCTGCGTAAGCACAGGCAGATATTTCGCGCGGCGCAGGAAATCCCGCGAGTTGCGTGCAGTGGTCAACGAGCTGGTAAATCAGTGCGCAGTTGCAGTATATGACCACGGCCACGGTGTAAGAACAGTTTACACCGTGACCACGGCCACGGTGTAAGAATAGTGTGTGACCACGGCTAACGAATGCTTACAATGAAGGTGTGCATAGATTGGGATGGGAGTTCGACTTTTCCTTCTCCGTTCAATACTGCCGCTATTTCTTTTGCCTGCCGTAAACGTTATGAGGCCTTCAAGCGTGTGTGAAGCATGCGCAGAGCCCCGCCGCGGTGGTCTAGTGGCTAAGGTACTCGGCTACTGACCCGCAGGTCGCGGGTTCGAATCCCGGCTGCGGCGGCTGCATTTTCGATGGAGGCGGAAATGTTGTAGGCCCGTGTGCTCACATTTGGGTGCACGTTAAAGAACCCCAGGTGGCCTAAATTTCCGGAGCCCTCCACTACGGCGTCTCTCATAATCATATGGTGGTTTTGGGACGTTAAACCCCACATATCAATCAAGCATGCGCAGAGTGCATGCAGGGGCTTTAACCCGCCGACGTATACGTACGAAGCTCATGACAGACTATCAACACAGTGCAATGTGTTGAAGCGGCGGTGGCTGACTCGTGTGACAGGCTAGCAAAGGAAAATAAACCAACAAATTTGTGGTGTGCAAATTTTCTGAGAATGTGAAATAAACCCGTGTCAATTACGTTCATGAATGTTATCAAAAGCAGTGCCCGATCAAGGTTGCGAACTTCGAAGGCAAATGCCTAGTGCTGCCGATGCTGCGTTAAGCCTTAATTTAAATAAAAAGCCTCCGGATATAATATATTGTGAATTACAAAGGGCATGACATGATCTCTAACGTAACAAATCGGCCAAACTTGGGATGTTATTGTGACGTCTTTATTGCAGATAAATTCTGTAGAATCCCGCAAGCTGATAGAAGGATAAGGGGGCGTTAATCCCAGCTTCAAACCCCACACCATGACATTTTTTTTCGGCAAAGGATAAGCTTTCTTTCCGGATAAATACTTATGAATTTGCTTGTGGTGTATGAATTTGTTTGCGACTGCATTGAATTACGCTGACGTCACCATATGATGTCGTCCCTTGGTGAGGGGGGGTATATTAGATGGAAACGCAGCGTCACGTGATGTGCAGAAATCATAGGGGGGGGGGGGGGAGGCAGGTTACGAAAGTCAACACAATCACAATCAACAGCGAGCAAACAGAAGAATGAGGCTTTCACCTTCGAATCGTCCTCAAGGGGGATCATGAGGCTTGTTTGCGTTGTCTGACTTGATTAAAACTTAAAATCAGGGAAACGAAAGGTACTCCCCAATTACCTTAGGGCAGCTACGACGATGTTTACAAGTTTACAAAGATGCACGAGGATGTACGGGCTCAGATCGGGATTGTGACATACTCATGACGACATCTCCGTTTCGTCTCTAAGCTTTCGATTGGCGTGGCTTTGGGTTCTAGCTTCGCTTGCGCACTGAATAATTTCTTGGGAACCTTTTTCGTCGGATGATCAGTGCCCTGTACTCTTTCGAGTCCCGTTTTTCTTCGGCTCACCTTGTAAAATGCAGTATTCGGTTTAGTGTCGAGACTGGTGAACCCTGTTCCATGTTTTGTAAGTGTGGACCCGGCCCTCTAGAAATCTAATCCACGCACTACCTTCAAAGACGCAAATGGAGGATCATATACTGATTTGCCAATGCTCAAGCGGAAAAGTAAATGTAGAACGCAATTGCTTCAACGACGCGAGAACATGCATCAGTTAGGAACCAACACGCGTGTCAATATTTTCTTCGTATTGGGCGTATTGATAGTATTGCTTGTATAACCAAAGTTGGCTTAACACTGGTCCTACGTTGTCGTTCTTTGTCAAACCCATCATTTTTTTTTTCTGGCGAAGCTTGTTATGGCTCACAAGTATTGGTGGTAGTGTCATTCCAGAAACACCCATGGCTCGAGACAGTAAAAATATACGACCCTCCGAGGTGCACCTGTCAGGTGCCTATGTGTATGCGCCGTTTTCCAATAACGGATGCGCTCTTGGTTGTGGGCTTTTCGGCGACCAGTCGTTTTAAGGGCAAACCACATTAAGACCGCACAATGTCCCGCCGTCCATAAACCGCTGCCCGGCGTCCACAGCATATGTAGAAACCGAAACACCCGTGAGCAACAAAGAGGTTATCGAAAAGCTGTAAACCATAACAAACAAAATATAAGGCCACAACACCGGGAAAACTAAATTTAACTGCCTATCAATCAAAATGTGCAACAGAACAAAAATTAACAAAAACATAATAAACTGGTGTCAACGAGAACAAATTAAAAGGTCACAATTCATGATCGCATACACACTGCTTCACCCCCATAAGCATTTACTTCGTGGGTAAGAAGACATTGCAACAGCAGGCGACAAAAGCTCTGTTGAAATTCCTACGCGACACGGACTTGAACAAGCGGCTGTAACAGCAATGTGACACACCGCGAAAGACAAGACTGCACTATGACTGAGTGTGCGTGCGTGTGCTGCCGAATGTGCTGTGTTTATCTCTCGTCCCTCTGTCCTCTACCTTTTATCTCCCCCATCCCCTTCCCATGCGCAGGGTAGCAAACCGGCTGCCTATAGGCTGGTTAACCTCCCTGCCGTTCTTTTACTGCTATTTTCCTTCCTTCCTACTTCGTGGGTATGCGTGTCTTTTTTTTATCTTGAGACGCCTTTTTTCTCTCCCATAGTCGAGTACTAAGTACTCTAAATTGTTAACCACTTTTTCTAAACACAATCTCATCTTTCATTGAGGTCACTTATCATTTCACTTTGCCACAGTTCATTGCTACCTAGATAGGAATGCACGGCCGCGGTTGTTGCCTGTAGCATCTCAAGTGTTGCGCATCTAAGCGCAATAATGAAGGCCCTTAATTCCCGGAATGAAGAAAGGAAAGAAGTTAGGAGGGGTCACTGCAATAAGGATGCGCCGCTTGCAGTAATGCGTCGCGCAGCGGCGTTCTGCCTCTCATTTATAATACAAGGAAACGCGAGCGTCCGTTTCTAGGCGTGGCGTTCGAGAAGAAGGAGAGCGAGGGTTAGTGAAAGAGAGCGAAAGGACGTTGCGAGGATCAGCGAGCCTGCTCGGGTGTCCGGTAAACAAATAGGTGCCCCTCCATAAATGATGCCGTCCTCCTCGTGCAAGAAAACAAAGGAAGGATGTCGATAAAGCGAGCACAGCTAGTATGCGTACGTGCCCCCTACCGGTTCCGCAAAAGATTATCTCGCCGCGGTAACAGTGCGGGGAGGCCAGTGCATGAGCGAGATCTCTAGTGGATCCGCGGCGCACTTGAGCGGGCCTGGACGAATGCATATATGTGCGGCAGTCCGCGTTGACGTTTTACATACGCGTCCTCCAAAATGTCACCGCTTCTGACGTTGGGTCTCCGGCTGTTCAAGTAACGCCATTTTGCCGTGCTCTTCTATTCGAACGAGCTTAAAGAGGTGCGACGCTGGAGCTACGACCATAAACCACAGCGCGAAACGTCCTTGGGTCCGCGCTTGCGCCGGCGGGTGTGTTATTCTGTGTTTGCGCCCTTTCGTGTATGATGGACATTTACTTCCATGTGTTTCAATTCCCTTCCCCTATACAGAGTAGCATGCAGACGTCTTATGTACGCCGGTAGGATTCTCTTTTTTTTAAATAAAGAGCTTTCTATCTCTCTATTTTTTTTTCAATCCTACGTGTCCTTGGGACCTTTAGTACACTGAAAAAGACATATATTGCGCGTGTTTTCTCCTGTATCATGACGGAGGTTACAGAAGGTGGGATGAGGGATTACAGCTTACCTCAGGACTTTAAATAAAGTCTCGCATCCATT